ATGTGGAAGATCTGGGTCTGAGTTCCGACCAATGCACATCATCCCCAGACACCACCTATCTGTCTGTGGATGTTTGTGTGTTGCTATGATGTTGAGTCAGTTTCCATGGAGATTGCAGACTAAAAAAAATCAAACCAAACTCACTGTCATCAAGTCAATTCCAACTCTTAGCAACTCTCTCTAGAGTTTCTAAGGCTGTAGCTCTTTATGGGAGGAAAAAAAAAAAACCTCATTTTTTTCCTGAGGAGTGACTGGTGGGTTTTAACTGCCAACCTTGTGGTTAGTAGTGGTGGTTGTGGTGGTTATGTGCCGTGGAGTTGGTTCCAACTCATAGTGACCCTGTACAGGGTTTCTGAGGCTGTAAATCTTTACCGGAGCAGAAAGCCTCATCTTTCTCTGGCAGAACAGCTGGTAGTTTCGAACTGCTGACCTTGTGGTTCATAGCACGATTCGTAACCACTACGCTACCAGAGCTCCTTTTGTGGTTAGTAGTCTAGTGCTTATCCTACAGCACCACCAGGGACTCGAATGAAAGGCTTGGCTACCTACTTCCACAACAAAACAGTCAATGAAAACTCTATGGATCACAAAAGACCAATCTACAACCAATCATGGGGTTGGTACAGGGCCAGACAGCATTTTGTTGTGTTGTCGTATCAACTTCACAGCAATTAACAACCATCACCACAAAGGAACAGGAGTTCTACAGTTCTCCCTCCTTCCTCTCTTCCCCTTTTCCCTCCCTCTTTTTGTCCTTTCTTTCCACAATCATTCACTGAGTTTCCACTGTGGCCACTCACCATCTAGACATTAATGGCACTGTGATGACTAATACACAGTCCTTGCCCTTGCAGCCCTAACTTTCTAATCTAGGTTTCCTACCTAGCCCCAAATCTTAACTTAGTATTCTGAAAAAGAAAACTTGCCATTGAATAACATCCTTGAAGAAATTAGATTACATATATCTATCAATACCCGAAGGTATTACTTGAGTCTGATGTATGAAACAAGCAACATGAATATTTTTACTTTATAAATACACCTCGAGTATGCATATTCATAATGTGCCTCTTCTGTGCATGGCTCCAACCAGTCCAAGACAGATGTGACATCAAGATGAAAAAAATCACCCTCACGTGACAGATATGAAAACAAGTCTTTAAATACTCTAGTGACAGATAGATCTTGCTAAGACTGTCAACCAGAGAGCACTTATCAAACAGTATCCCACAGGAACCATACGACTTAATTTTTGTCAACAATTTCATTTAAGTGGATTTTGTAAATGATTCAAAAATATGTCGGAGTGGTGGCAACTGGAAGCAAAAATGGCTTTGAAAACCAGTTTGACAGCTTTCCTGCTGACAACACTGAGACTAGGATGACGACTGTTCCCAGAGTGGTAGGCCCTTCCTTGCACACAAGGTAAGAAGATTGTGCTTAAGTTTAAATGTAGGAAACTGCAATTTATTCAGAGATGCTCGAATTTGGAACTGAGGGGAAAAAAGGAGAAGAAGAAAGGTCTAGGAGATGAAATGATGCTTACACGTCTTAATTTTGGTTTTATGGTAAAAAAAAAAAAGAAGAAGAATGGCACTCAAATGACCCCTAAAAATTAATGAATGATTTGGGAACGTGTAGTGACTTTGACCATGGTAGTGGTTTTCTGCTGGTCAGCCTCACTGAGCTTGTCTACTATCTAGAAGGCTTCAGCCACACCTTGTCCAATGAGGTCTTCATTGCAGTCTCATGGGGAGAAGGCTCACTCCCAAATGTGTTCCTTTCTTGGGCAGTCTGCCTCAGTCCTAGGTAATATCTGTTCCTTGTGTTGCTAGAACTATAATCTTGAGAGTTCTCCTAACCTCTTAGCAGGTAATCTGTTTACTATTGTTAGTTGCACTTCAATCAGTTCTGATTCATGACAACCCAAGGTGGCTGTTTTTTTGTAGGTTTCTTTTTGTTTTGTTTTATTTTGTTTTCAGAAGTAGGTCACCAGATCTTTTTCCTGAGGCACCAATCTCCCAACTAGCAGCTGGGCACATTAACCCTGCACTGCCCAGAGATGCCTAGGATCCGCCAACACTTTAGAATAGTTTTTCTCCTGTGTGGCCTGGTGGTCACATCAGAATCCTTTGGGGGTGCTTATGAAAAGTACAAATTACAGGTTCCATCTCAGACCAACCAAATCAGAATCCCTGGGTATGGGGTCTAGAAATCTGTATTATTAACAGACACCCAAATCATTCTAATGCATCAAAAAGTCAAGAACCAGTGTCTTAAGACATGAGTAGGAACAAGTCTAACATGAATGTTGTTGTTGTTGTTAAGTACCTTGGAGTTGATTCCAACTCATAGCGACCCTGTACAGGGTCCTGAGGCTGTACATCTTTACGGGAGCAGAAAGCCTTATCTTTCTCCCGTGGAACCGCTGGTAGTTTCAAACTGCTGATCTTGCGGTCGGAGCCCGACTCGTAATCACTATGCTACCAGAACTCCTTAACATGAATAGAGCATCTTAATAAAAAAAAAAAATCTGTTGCCTTGGAGTCGATTTTGTCTCATAATGACCCTGCAATACACAGTAGAACTGACTTACAGGTTGTCCAAGGTTGGCGTAGTGCTACAGGAGAAGCACTCAACTTCAAGGTCAGTTTGAACTACAAGATCAGTGGTTCAAACTCATCAGCTGCTCCTCAGAAACCCTACACAGGGTCACTATGAGTTGGAACGGATCCCACGGCACTTAACAATGACAATCGTTCCAGAAGCAGACTGCTACATCTTTTTCCAGTTGAACATCTGGTAGATACGAACCACTTATCTCTTGGTCAGTAGCTGAGCACTTTAGTCACTGTGCCACCAGGGTTCCATAGAATGCCTGTTGTTGTTAAGTGCCTTCAAGTCGGTTCCTATTCACAGCAGCCTTATATAGGGTTCATGAGGAGCAGTTGTTGGGTTTAAACCACTAACCTGGAGGAAAGCAGTCCAGTGATTATCCTACAATGGACACCTACTGTGTCAAGACACAGTGCAGACAAAATACAACTATGAAGTAAAGAAAGTCCTTACACTAAGAGCATGAAGTAGGTACCTTGCCAGAAACAACATATCCTTTCACCACACTTATTCCAATTGTATGCTGAGCAAATAATCCAAGAAGATGGACTATATGAAGATGAACACATCATCAGGATTGGAAGAACACTCATCAATAACCTGTAACATGCAGATGAAACAGACTTTGCTTGCTGAAAGCAAAGAGGACTTGAAGCACTTACTGATGAAGATCAAAGAGCAAAGAGCCTTCAGTATGAATAACACTACAACATTAAAAAAAAAAAAAATATTCACAACTGGATCAGTAAGCTCTATTGTGGTAAATGGAGAAAATAGTAATGTTGTCAAGAATTTCAACTTGCTTGTATTTACCGGCAGCAGTCAAGAAATTAAATGGCATATGGTATTGGGTAAACCTGCTGCAAAAGATCTCTCTAAGGCACTAAAAAGCAAAAATGTCACTTTGAGGACTAAGGTGCACCTGACTCAAGGCATGATCTTTTCAATCATCTCAGATGCATGTGAAACCTGGACAATGAATAAGGAAGATGGAAGAAGAATTGATGCCTTTGAATTGTGATATTGACAAAGAACACTAATTATACTATGAGCTGACAGAAGAAGAGACAAATCTATCTTGGAAGAAGTACAGCCAGAATGCTTCTTGGAAGCTAGGTTAGTTAGACTTGTATTACATACTTCAGGCATGTTATTAGGAAGGGCCAATCCCTGGAAAAGGGCATCATACTTGGTAAAGTGGAGGGTCAGCGAAAAAGAGGAAGACCTCCAGGGAGATGAACTGACCACACAGCAGTGATTGTGAGGACGTCGCTGGACTGGGTAGTGCTTCTTCAGTTGTGCATTGGGTGGCTGTGACTTGAACCGGCAGCACCTAACATCAACAATAAACTTACTATGTTAGGCTGTTCACAGATCATATCTGTTTACCCTGATAACAACCAGGCAAGAGAGGCGTTGTTGTTGTTGTTAGGTGCTATCTAGGCGGTACTGACCCATAACGACCTTATGCCCAGCAGAACGAAACATTGCCCGATCCTGGGCCAACCTCACTACTGTTGCCACGCTTGAGTCCATTGATGCTGCCACTTGGTCAATCCATCTCACTGGGGGTCTTCCTCTTTTAGTCTTCTCATATTTACTTCTGATAAGAGTGAAGCTCAGAGAAGTTTCCTAAAGTAGTGAAGCTGATAAGTGGTTGAGCCAACGCTCAGCCCCACAACTTTCTGAGTCCAGTATTCGTTTAAGAGATTATGTTGTTGAAGTTCCACAGAGTGGGTTCTGACTCGTGGCGACCCTGTGTGTAGGGATGGTTTCCAGGAGCGGCTGGTGGGTTTGAATCCAGACCTTGTGGTTAGGAGTTAGTGCTTATTGGCTCAATTCAGTAGAATTTTTCCACACCTTTAACAAATACACAAAGATGTGTCGCTACAGTGTCGCAATCTGTGAGAGTTGTTTTGTTTTGTTTTTGTGATAGCAACGGACAGACAATTGCTCTCAGTCCTTGGTGGTCATGCAAGAAACAGAGCGACAGTGTCGGAACTTCATTTCCCAGCAAGCCCCGCGGCCACGCCCGACGCGAGGCATGACGGGTTCCTCGCCCATCTTCTTCCCTGGAACGGCCCGGCGGCAACGGGCTACGTCCTATCCTGTCGTCCGCACGCGCGGCATCCTGGGATTTGTAGTCCAGCCTGGCCTGGAACGTCCTTTCGGATGAATGGGATTAATGCCGACTAGGAACTACAGCATCTCGGTCGGCGGCGTCGGTGCGGATCGCGGCTGGGCCCGCGAAGACCGCGCGCCGGGTGGGCGGAGATGCTCGTGGCCGCGGAGGCCCGAGCAGCCGGGCTTCCGGGGGCAGTGGTGTAGGCGGGCACTTCCACGAGCTCGCTGTCCGGCCCGGCCCGGCCCGGCTCGGCCCGGCCATGCGCTCGGCCTTCGCGGTGTGCCTGGTGTTCGCAGGCTGCTGCAGCAACGTAATCTTCCTGGAGCTCCTGGTCCGGTGAGTGGTTCGCGCGCCGGCCACCGCGGGTGCACAGCCTGCGACCCTGGTGGCGCAGGGATCCGAACCTTGCGCACTCTGGGCCGCCCCAGGGTTGGGGTCAACCCCCATGGCCTTCCTCGCTCGCCGGACCACACAGCATCCTTAGTAATGTTTACATTCAATTTTGACTTTAGAATGATAGGTGATAACTGTGTTTCTCTGTATGTAATATTTCTTAAATGACTACGTGTGAATCCTAACAGAATTGTGCTGTAAGATCTTTCTATTCTGAATTCTATGATTGGTAACTGAGTGGAAGTCATCTTTTAAATTGTTCTCCTTTCACTTTAATTGATAACTTCATTCTCAGAAAGGTTATTGATACAGGTCACAATGCTAATGATCACACTGTAGCTAAAATACCAAAAACTTTGGCAGCCAAAACCATGTGATGTGAAGTGTGATTGTAATGACAGTTCTGACCTGAGTTTATTATCCACTGCCATCAAATCCCATTCCGACTCATAGCGACCCTATAGGATAGAGTAGAGCTGCCCCTTTGGGTTTCCAAGATTTTAAGTGTTTACTCGAGCAGACAGCCTCAGCCTTCAACAAATAAATTAGCGTAGAGTTTTAGG